GATGAAACACAGCCACCATTCAGGAAGGCACTAGAACAGGGAGTTGGGAAGCCTTCATAATTCTCCATCCCACGTGTTTATCTCTCTTTAGGCATCTCCTTCATTCTTCTCCCTCCCTGAATACCAGCTGATTCTGCTTCCCTGGTCCACATGGTGAAATAGGGTAGCTCTTAGCTTCTTCAATTGCTTGAGGTTCTACTACATTTAGAAAGTAACTTGCTGGTTCTCAGTCTGATTCCAGACTCCAGCCCCAGCTGAGTGGGTGTCTGCTCTCACTTTAGTCAGTCAGCTCAGCATGGAGGCCAAGGATGGGGAAAGGAGGGCCCAGGAGGGCTTACATCCTGACAGGTATCTCAAGTTCAGTATTACAATTCTGATCCACACATCCAGGTTTAGCTAAGCAAACACCCAGAAAAAGAAAAGTGAATGGGCACGTGAAATTGATGTATTTAACCTCCCTTGACATGCCCGGTTTTTATCAGTGCTTCTGATCAGGAGTTTCTTCTACTGGTGTCAAACCAGTGTCTGCTCCCTGCTTCAGGCTGGAGGGCATCCTGATGGCCTGGAAGCCCCTATGGACAAGATCACTAGTTTTCCAAATGTACTAGTTATAAACGTACTAGTTATAAAATGGCGGATTTTCTCATAAAACTACCCTCTTGAAAAGAAGCATAGGATTATGATCCCTCCTCCAACAGCTCCTTTTTCTTCTCGTAGACCCCTGTGGGTATAAGCCAAAGCTTCCTTCTTATAAGAAATGCTTGTCATGAGAGAGAGATATGAATGCGACAGTGCCTTTTTCTAGACCCAGTGTCTCCCCCTGCTCGGGGGATTATTGAAACATGAAAATAATTTCATGATGATTTGAAGTCAACTACCCCCTCCATCTCCAAATGCTTGTGGATCACTTCCCCACCTGTTTAAAAAGTTGTTTAAAAAAAAAAAAAAAGTTGTTTAGCCATTAACTGCTGCTGAGGCTCCTTTAAGCTCCCTTTGAAATGGGGGTTCCCCCAGCTGCAGTACATAATATTAATGAGCAGTAAGTGACTGCCTGCTGCTCCCTCCACCAGGCCCTTCTGGGCTCTAGCACTGCCACTGCCTCTTCGTGCCCTCCTGGCCCTTCATGCCTCCGGAGTGAAGCACGTCCCCGGCCCCATGTCTAGCTCCACAGCTGAATGGACGCCTCCAAACTGGCCTCCTCCAAGAGCACACAGGTTAGGGAAGCTCTTTGCCTTCCTTGGTGCTCTTGCTCGAGCGGCCCCCGTGCTCGTCACAAAAAAGCAAATTCTCATCATTGGGCCCATTATACAAATGAGAAGCAGGGACAAGATCCAAATCCCATAAGTAGGTCCTGAACCAGATGTTCCTTAAACCCCAGTTTGGGGGCAGGAAAGAAGCAGGAGTCCATATTCACTTTCCAAAACCGAAGACACTAAGTTAAGTATTTCCAATGCAGGTGAGCGACTAAAGAAGGGTGGTCCTATTAGGCATTTAATGAGAAATTAATGCTTAGCTAAGAGGACAGTTCCTCCCCTTCACTAAAGAAGCAGAAACAAGCTTGAAGAATTGTAGTATATAGGATTCCACTTTATGAATCACAGTTTATTAAATGAGCAAGTGACTAATTGCTACGAGAAAATGAAAATCAGTATGACTTTGCTTTTTCGTTTCAACAAAAGTGAATGGCTGATTTCCCCCATGCATTAACACATGACTCGATTTTCAGTAGTTGGTTAAAGTTTAAGTGGGGTTCTTGCCCTCTGTATCTTTTGGCTGAACAAGCATGGCCTTGACTGTTCATCTCCTTGAAGGAGCATTATGTGGGAGTGGAAGCATAACACCTAATGCATATATCGCCACCACGTGCTGGGCACTGCTCTAGACAGTTTGTGTTGACTCGGTTCACCCTTACAACCCTCTGAGGTAGGGACCAATTGATGGATAACAAAGCTGAGAAATAAGTGACTTGCCCAAGATCACACAGCTATAATAGCAGGTGCAGTACTCAAACCCAAGCAGTCAGGCTTTAATTTTTTTTCTAATTTTATTTATCTGAGAGAGAAAGAACAAGAGAGAAAGCACAAGTGGGGACAGGGAGAAGCAGACTCCTCGCTAAGCAGGAAGCCCAACGTGGGACTTGATCCCAGGACCCCAGGATCATGACCTGAGCTGAAGGCAGATGTTTAACAACTGAGCCACCTAAGTACCCCCAAGCAGTTGGCTTTAAAACCCATAGTTTTTGTTTTTGTTTTTAATCATTAGTCTAATCCCTCTGTGTTGTATTTGCATGCCATCGGGAATTCCAGAATTCCATTACTTATCCTCCACCAAACTAATGGAGCTAAGCAAATGAAACCTCCCCTCTCTGAGGATGATAAATTCTATCTCTGCCTCCTGAAAAGGAGCTAACTTTTTCACTCAGCTCCCAGGACTGTTTCAAATATGATAAAGAGTTTACTTTTCAATTGTGAAAATCAGCTGTAAATGTATGAGATTTGAACCTCTGTAACAGTGTTTTCTGATGTCCAGTCGATGGACACAGCCCAACAGTATCCTGGGGATGTTTGTTTCAAATAGGGAGGCTGAGCTCCACCTAGACTTACTGCAACAGAGTCCCTAAGAATACATCCCAGGAATCTGCATTTTTAGGAAGCACCCCAGTGATTCTTACACAGAGTAAAGGTTGACAGTCATTATAGAATCACATCTGGAAGTTTCGGGAGCTCTGCATATCATCAGTTCAACTGTAAATGATTATAGAAAGCTTCCAAAGCCTCTCTGCATCCAACTGCTATTTCAGGGAGATTGTAATGTGTAAGAAGTGTTCCAAATTGTTGTAGCCTCCGTCTGTGTGAACCAGCTGGTCGGGAAAGCTTGGATAATTTCCCAAGGGACCTCAGTTACGTGGACCTGGTATACTCTTTACCTATGAAAATATAGAAAAGACACCGTTTTCCACCCCAGATCCAAAGTAACTCTTTCAGAATGCGATTCTGATTGTCTTGTTTGCTGAAAACCCTCCCAAAGAGCCCTTACGTAGACTTGCATATACTGGCCAGGCCCATCTCTCCATCTTTTCCCTCCAATGTGCTCACTCACTGCTCTGATCTCCTGGTGTGCCACGTACCACAGCATCTTTACCCATGGCCCCCCAGTGCCTGTCATGTACCCCAGCCTCTAGCCAGCTCTCACTCTCCCTTCAGAGCTCAGCTTAAGGGTCCATCCTCATGGAAGCTTTCCTTGGCCTGACAGGAGTCAGAACATTCTGTTACCTTCCACTTCTAGCCAATTCCTGTATGGCACCCACCACAGTTTTTCAGTCTGCCTCTGACTGTGTGATACCATGACTCACATCTGTCTTCACAAGCAGGTTATAAGCAAGAACCCATGTCTTGGGCACTTTAGTGTCCAACAGAGTACCTGCTACAATGTAAGTGACCTCATGTTGGAAAGACAGCCTTAATTCTCAGTCTAGAATTTAACATCCATTCTATAAACAAAGATTTCACATTTTTTATTTTTACCTCTATCGTCAAACAGCCATGGAAATGGATAGTCTGAACCCCAAACTTCTTTATGTGTTCTAGATCCCTTTAATGAATATGTCAACAGCTCTAATCCTGATGCTATTTTTGAATTGCTCCTGGTGTGGTTATACAGTCATTAGTTGTTAAAAGGAAAGTTAATGAAAGTGGAAATTTCTGATTTTGAAGAGCCACAAAGTAACTAATTATCTATTTCCTCTTTTACTTCAAAGGCTGATATGGTTTCTTATTATTGAATAGGGTAGGGAGCACAGCGAGCCTAATTGGTGATTATATGGGGTTTATTTAATTTTATATTTTATCATCACTTTCAAGTGTACCTTTGGTCAGCTATATGAACTATCAGGATTATCTTTTGTGAGAGTGTTCTCCACATGAGAACACATCTTATTCCAACAGTAGTTTGATCACAATGACATTAGCTGATTTTGACATAAAATGATGATTATAAAATATCATAAATATGTTAAAAGCGAGAATTGTTCATCTCCTAAGACCTATGTAGCATTTAGCAAACTGTGGACATTTTAAGTTTTTATAAAACACTATCTTCTGGGTATTTGAACTCAAAAAAAAAATCACATCCCACATGATACATATGTACCAAAATCTAGCAATTATAAGTGGATATTCCCCCACGAGTTTTTTTTTTAAATGCCTCCCTGAGGAAACAAGAGCCAGTGACCTCCCAAATTCTCTCTTGATTAAATATAGGTTTCATTTTATGCATTACAGTGGAAAAGAACGAGAAAGATCCAGGCAGGCTAGTGAGCAAAGCAGTCCCAAGAATTATGGATCACGCCTCATACAGTTTAGATTACACCTTCCTCACATGGTCGCCTTCCAAAACTGGAAATCTCACGTTCATATCATAAAAATCTGTGGGAAATGATAGATAATATTAGCTCCCAATCGGGTTCCATGCCTACACTACTCTTAGCACTATTCTGTGAATTACATCGGTCCACACAACAACCCAAGAGGTAGGAACTGTATGAGTGGGCCCATTTTACAAACAGGAAAACCGAGACAGAATGTATCACGGCCATACAGCCATCTGGCTATTTTGGGATCAGGATTCTGAGTCAGTCGGCCTGGCTGTGCAAAGCACCCACTCCTGACGATTAAACTCGACTACCTCCCATACACACTTTATTTAAGAGCAGTGAATCAGGAAGCTTGGCCCCCGCTCACTTGCTTTCTCTGTTTTCCCTTTAGAGGATGGGGGGGGGGGGGGTCGGGGTGGGAGGGGCGCTTTGTTTTGTTTTGTCGGAAAGGAGAAGCAGCCCAAAGTGAGCTTTCCTTTCTTTCTGAACATCTTTTTTTTTCCCAAAGCCACTTTCCTTCATCCGAGGCCAGGAAGGACACGGATTCAGAAGACAGAGCACTAATGAGCTTCCTTCCCCCTCTGTGCCCCCCCTCCCCACCTCCCTCCTGTCTCTCCCCACTCTGCAGTTAATAGCCAAGATCCCCACCATCACGGCGGTCTGCAACTTGCATGGGGAGAAGCTGCAGGTATTCAAACAATCACATCCAGACATAGTGAATACACTCTTTCCTCCATTATACAAGGAACTCTTTAATCCCGACTGTGCCACCGTCTGCAAATGAAGGCGACCAGAGGACTGTCTCCTAGTCGGGAAAGGCATCACCGTTAAGACAAAAGCAATGTGTTCATGAAGACTTAAGAAAAAAAAAATGTCTACTGCAACATTAGGAATGTCCTGCACTTAACAGAATTATTTTTCACCGCTACAGTTTGAAGAATGTAAATATGCACCTGAGTGGGGCTCTTTTATTTGTTTGTTTGTTTTTGAAATGACCATAAATATACAAATAGAGGACACTGGGTGTTATCTTTTTTTTTTTTAATTTTATTTTATTCGGGTATGTTTTGGGAGACAACTGTTTATAGAATTTTATTGTAGATATATACGAGAACAGAGCGGTACTTTACATGATTACTTTCTCCTGTTAATTGTTCAAATATAATTTAAGAAAATCCCACTTAATAGGCTTACCTATTTCTATGTTTTTAGATAGTTGATGCATGTGTAAATTTGTAGCTGTCTTGGAAAGCACTGTGCATGTATGTAATAAGTATATAATATCTGAGAATATTATATATGACTATTACGTATACCTGCACATGCACTGTGGCTTAAAATACCATACCCACTAGCGAAGGAGGTTCAGTCAGGCTCTCTTATATTATTTCCCTTCTGTGTTATATGTTACCTTTACGTTAGACAATCAGGATTTTGTGTTCCCAGCCAGACTTTACAACTATCGTGTACAGCAGGATGGTACCAATTCAGAGATAAGTCTATAAAGGAGTATATATAATGCACGGCCTCTGTATAAGAACTCTATCTCTTTCAGTGACAACAAAGCCTTGTCAGGATGGTAAATATTGGGGGGGCGGGGGGCAGGGAAGGATTTGGAGCCATTTTCCTGTTTTAAGAATTAGGCCACAGATAATATTTGAAGTCCAGGACTTTTTTTTTTTTTTAACCAGCAATCACTGTTTCCTATTTTTCACCTAGACAGGCAAAATACTTTTTTTTTTTTTTTTTGGCTTTCAGGCTGGGAAAGAAACTGATTTTGGTGCTCAGCAGAGAAATACAGACTATAGGTCTGACCACCAGCAATTTTTTCTAAAAAAATTTGAGTCACAGAGGAACTCAGAACCCAGGGTCCGGATGCCATTTCATGTAAATGTGTTCTCTCTAACCTGTTTTGGGTTTGGTTTGGGTTGTGGAGGGGCTTCTTTGGTTTGTTGTTGTTGTTGTTGTTGTTGTTGCTGTTAGGGTTTTATTTTGTTTTTGGCAAAGGAGAGGTAGAAAGAACACATACAAAGTAAAGAAGTCGTTCTTTATATGCATTCTCTTTGCTAAGTTTGTTAGAAAAAGCAGCAATAAAGGGGGAGGCAGGATTTTATATGTCCTTCTAATGTGGGGCCTCTAATTTCTTTCAACTCCAAAATGCTTTACTGTAAACACAGAACTCCACAGATAACAAAAACACATCTGAGTTATTCTGTAGAACTAATACACCTCAAAACCAAAACTATTTCTTATGCAGTTTAAAACTGCATCATCCGTCTAGCCTGGGCCTTTTTTTTTTTTTTTTTTTTTTTAAGCAACTTGTACAAAGTACAGAATGCAGGAGGCAAGGTGAGGCTTACTGAATTCCGACTTCCTAGGACAAGTCTCCTCTCTCCCCCTGCTCTCCAAGCAAACAGAGTACTGGGAAAGCATAAACCCCAAGCAACCTGTTTTGCCTACAGTCTGGAGGCCCTATGCCTTTGGTCTTAGCTGATCCCAGACGAGAGCTTTTAAAAAGGAAGCTAGAGCTGAGTTTTGTGCAAAAGACAGTGGAATTCACCATCTCCTGTTGGCACAGCCCAGCCACCAGCTCACGAGGCGCTGCCTTTTCCTCCTCAGCAAACACACACACACACACACACACACACACACACACACAAGCAGGTGTGCACACCTGCTTCGTGAAGTTTCCATCAGGGGAATTTTGATTTCCCTTTCATCTCTGATGCTCTCCTGAAGTTACATGGTCTTGAGAGCCATCTCTGAGAGGCCACAGAACCCCTCCTTGATGATCAGTCGTTAGTGATAGTCTTTTTTTCTAGAAAACAGGGCCTTTGCCCACCTCATGATTGATGAATTCCAAGCCAGTGGGGAAAAACAAAAAGGCTTTAAAATAATGACTCTCCTTCTCAACTACTGTTATATTCAATTAATTTAACTACATTGAACCAAATTACCTTTGGTGTCTAAGAAGACAGCTGCAGACTGCATATTATGCTGCTGCAGGGACTTGGTTGTTTCTGGTGTAAATGTCACTCCTGCTAGCTCTTTGTATAAAGAATTAATTCCAAGAGTCATATTTCCTTCTAATGGAAAGATTACTTTACTGATTGCTAGGAAAACAGGGTAATGGAAGGCGCTCAATTAAACCAAGCCGTTTCCAAATGCAATGTATGTTTTATGATTGGCTTGTGATAGGCAATGCTTAATGTGTCTACTTGGGGTTTCCCTTTGAGCTTTGAACTTGTCAAACTTTGTTTTCATTGTTCCGTTGGCCTAGTGTTTTCCATTGTCAGCCTGTAATTCCTGCTGCGTTGCAAAGGGAATCATTCGTTTCCTCCAATTTACCTTAGAGGATTTAAATTGGCTCAATTGATGAAGTGGCTGAGAATTTTTTCCTCCCTTGTCCCATGGGTGATGTAGGAAAAGGATTGTTCCCTGCATTTGCCTCAAGAGGTACTGGATTTGAATTTGTTTGTCGTTTCCACTAGTGCAAGCATTTCACTGGGACGGCGTGAACCTTTTGAAGCGAGGGGACAGGAAACAGCTAGCGATTGAACCAGAACAAAACAGTGGAAAACCAGTACATGCTCAGCCCGCTTCAGTTGCGAAGAGAGATTTCCATTTTGCGCCCCAGTTGCCAAATCTGTCCCTGAAAAGAGAACCAGGTCATATTTTCAGTGGTAACAAATGCCTTTAAAAGCTGCCTTTTGAACATCTTCTGTGACTACATCCCAAGGTATTTTGAAATTTGGTTGAGAACAACTTTCTTTACCACACACAATCTTTGTCCCTTCCCTACGAAGACTCACAAGTATCCACAACACCTTCAGGCACTGGACGAAAGAACCCATGATCTGTACTCTTCACTTCATGCTTCGTAAATGACAATCACTGCTTGATGCAGATGTTGCACTGTAGCCACTCAGGGATGTTTCATTTAAGAAAAAAAAAAAAGTACATCAAGAAGGAGGGAAAATAAAACAGGAAAATGACAACAAAATGTAAATGGCATAAATTAAATATGCCAATGAGACAACCTCTCTGACAAGGCTTTCAGAACAATAAGCAGTAACTTCCTCTTGTTAACTGTGTGGACCTGCTAGAAAGTTGCACACGAATAAGGACAACTTAGTCTCATTTTCTAAAAGCTGCTAAGAGCCAAATAATCCAGCTGCCCTATTAATAGGAATATGTGTCTCCCGAGCAAACCCAAGCTTCCTATACAAGTTCTGAACAAGGAAAATACAGAAATCTAAGTGGTGTTAGCTGAATCTGACAACTTAGGTAAAGCTGTGTGAATTCAAATTCCAGTGTTTCTATGATCTATAGAAAGGGAAGGCAAATTTTAGAGGGAATACAGAAGAAGAAGGAATTCTAAATCTGGCTTAAGATGCCACACATACTACCGTCCATGATCTGGGTCATCTTTGTATCCTTTATTTTGTGGCTCTTTTTTTTCTCCAGAGCCTGAAAGCCCAGGGTAGAGATGTACTCTACAAACATACCTTTTCTAGATTTGCCTTGTTTGAATATTGTCTTCAGCGCTCTGGAATAAAGGACCACTGTGTAGGTATAAACAGTGAATCTAGTGGTCTCTTGTATAATTTGACTTCTTGGGCAGAATCTGTGACACCTTAAATCACAGTGAACTTTGGACATTAGCAAGAGGTGCCAGGGAGACAATAGTCCATTTCCTATCGTAGCTGCCTTGTTCGACACATAACGTCACAGCAGTCAAGTTAAATTGTTTGTAGAAAGCCATGCACATGGCTAGTCAACTCACGCTCACTCTCTACAATCCCATGTGTACCAGGCTTGAATGCAAAAGCAATTCCCAAGGACAACCTAAAACTTAACCAGCCTTTTTTTTTTCCCCAAAAAACATCAGTCGGATGTAAATGATGTCAGTTTTGTTGCACGTTGTTTCCATTTATTACAGAAGCAAGGACAAATTCTACTGCTTTTGGAAATTAGAAGAAATAACTCTTTCCTGACTCTCTTTTTCTCTGTAAACTTTTGCTTCCCATGAAATCACTACAGTTGGCAGTAAACTCAGGCAAGGATGCCTGTGTCCTGACAGAGCCACCTTTCAATAGCACAGCAATAACTTGAAAGTATGCATCTGTAGTGAAACTTTGCACAAAGTCCCCTTATAAAGAAGACGAAAAGTCCACTATCTGCTTTAGATAAAGTGGCCATTTAATATTTTTCTTTCCAACTGCTAATAAAAGCAGCAGCCTGGTATAGGAAACCATGTGGGTCTTTAGATGGAGTTGCCAACCTGTCTTTGGAGGGGCAGCTGGGGGCAGGGCAGGGGAGGGCACAGGGCTCAGGACCAGAGGTACCTGTTCATTTAAAGCAGGGGCTAAAAAGTGAAAAGCCTAAAGAGCCAGGGAGTTGATGCAAATGAGGGAAAGCAGCCCAGTGGCCAGCTGGCAAGGAAATGCCCCATGGGTAAAGGGACTTCCGAGAGTGAACTAAAGCACAAGTTTTGCTCAAGCTTCTGAATCTTACAACATCTCTCTAGTTTAAGTGATATCCGTTGATTCAGAGCTCAGGGCCAACCCAAACAACACGTCTCCGAGCAGAAGAGGGTCTGCAGTTTGCAACCTCTGGTTTCAAGCAGAGTTGAATGTAGGGGCCCGTTTCCTGGAGCAAGTGTGGCCAGGCAGGACTCCACATGAGTCAGAGTGGGGCACGGGTGGGGGCCAAGCTCTTGCCCACTGATCCTGCATTTCTTTTCCTTACCTGACCATCACTGCCAGAGGACATAGCAAGAGTTGGGTTGAAAAATAACCAGCAGTCTAAAAATGCATGCGATTCAATTTAACGATGGCTTAGAAGAGACGCTTCTATTTGTCTTGCCCAAACTCCTAGCTTCATAGAGCCAGGTGGCTGGCTTTCTGGCCACTTT